GTCAGAAAGTGAAGGGAAAGGAGGTAGGGATGGCTAGGGGGTGACAAGATAGGGGCAGGGATGGCAGGGGGTGATAGGAGGGGATGTATGTATGGTGGAGTTACATGAGGGGAGTAGAGATGTCAGGGGGTGACAGGAGGGGAGGTAGGAATGTCAGGAAATAAAGGGAAAGGAAGTAGGGTGACAAGAGGGGGTAGGGAATTGCAGGGGGTGGGTAAAGGTTAGAGGGGGGTCACAGAAGGGGGTTTTTGTAGGAGATCGTGACAGGAGGAGATGTAGGGATGGCAGGGGGTGACAGGAGGGGATGTAGAGATGGCAGAGGGTGACAGAAAGAGGGTAGTTAAAAAGGGGTGACAGAAAAGAATGTAGGAATGGCAGGGGGGTGACAGGAGGGGATGTAGGGATGGCAAGGGGGGACAGGAGGGGATGTAGGGATGGCAAGGGGGGGACAAGAAGGGGGTGGAATTAAGGGGTGACAGAAAGGGATGTGGGAATGGCAGGGGGTAACAGGAGGGGATGTGGGGATGGCAGGGGGTGACAGGAAGGGGGTAGTGTTAAAAAGGGGAGACAGGAAGGGATGTGGGGATGGCAGAGGGTGACAGGATGCGATGTAGGGATGGCAGGAAGGGGGTAGTGTTAAAAAGGGGTAACAACAGGGGAATTTGGCGATGACAGATGGAAGAGGGTGTGGACGGCAGGCGTGACAGGAGGGAAAGTAGCGGTCTCAGTAGAACGGAGAACTGTCGGGCTACCACAGTCCGTGAAAACACAGCACGGGTGCGGGGGGGTGAGATCCCGGGAATCGGTACCCACTGTCACGTGATTCCCGGAGGCACCGCCGCTCTATCACTACTCAGCACTCACCATCTTTCTGCTGGGCGGAGTCCCGGGCACTCTCGCTGTCTGTTAGGACCCGGCTCTGAGCGCTGATTGGAGAATCGTCTCTTAGGCGTCCTCGGCAGTGCCTGATCCGCAGACAACACTTAGCTGCCCCGGCGATGCCTGCCACTGTTCTCTGGCAGTGATTTTGCATTGGGAGGCCCATAGAAGGCAAAGGCAGCGCATCTAAATGCATGTAATATGGTCAATGGCTGATCACTCAGCTCATGGTCTTCTGCATGCAGAGAGCGGTGACTGCCCCCTATATGCTGTCAGGCTCTACGCTACCAGCATATAGAAGGCAGTTTCCATCTATGATCTGACTTTGGGTCACAGGAGGGCATTAGCAAATGTGACCCGCAAGAAAATTAAAGCCAAAAAAAGGTTGAGCTTTAGTTCTCTTTAGATCTCTCCACTCCAAATTCAGCAACATGTCAACGCACAAAGGAAACAAACACTGAAGAAGCACAGCAATGCACCTGCCAAAATGGGCCGATGATCGATCAAAAGTACGAACTTATCGAGTTGTGGGACCGCATGACTTCCGGTTTCTACATCATCGGTAACACCAATACTCACCTTCACAGCGACCCAACATCACTCCTTCTTCCATTGCTGCCTCTGTATAATGCGCAGTACTTCCTGGTTTGGGGGATCCAGTTCGCCAAGTGTCCCGGATTCTGCGGGCCAATCCCAGTATTTTGGGGACTGCCCCGCAGTACTCAGGAACCGGGGTGCCGAGTGCTGGAACGTCCTGCGCCTCAACACACGACAATGCAACTATGCCAGCAGTCCCGAGCATAGAGATCTCTTGCCCAACAGTGCCGGTGATGTGTCGAAAGTGCGAACTTATCGAGTTGTGGGACCGCATTACTTCCGGTTTCCTCAGAACTACGAGGTTTTTACACAAAACATGTTGTGCACGAGCGCCATCCACGGCATTGCCCTATAGACATAGACCACAGCAATAAAGTAATAAAATGATGTAGGATGACAGTAAGCCAGCGCGTTCTTTATCTCCGGTGCCCCACTCAATATGGCCGCCGCTTATTGCTGTGGTCTATGTCTATAGGGCAATGCCGTGGATGGCGCTCGTGCACAACATGTTTTGTGTAAAAACCTCGTAGTTCTGAGGAAACCGGAAGTAATGCGGTCCCACAACTCGATAAGTTCGTAGTTTTGATCGATCACCGGCATAGTTCTGGTTTTGAGGTCTAGAGACACAGCTCATGATTTGATAATTAACCACAAATGTTACAATGGGGTGTATTTCTGTTCCCAATGATAGGACTTATGTTGTGAGGGGTACTTTGTAACTTAGGAGTGACCCTTACACTTTGTACATCACATACTTCTGATTAAAGCATTTATTGAGGCTCATTTACTAAATCCATTCATGAGGGAAGCAACTTCCTGTTTACTGACTTCACCCACATGTGATAGGATAGTTGGAGTGAATAATTACAATGTATTGTGTGAGGAGCCTAAACTCTTTTAATAAATCAGGCCAATTGTCTACATGGCTGCTGGTGCAAAGTACCCCCAACTATTTTAAAGGAGAACTCTGAGGTGAGTGCTTGTCACTCACCTCATAGTTCAAGCCGACCTGTGACAATGACACTGTCACAGGTCGGCTCAGTAGATCGGGAGGTGAGCGAACACATAACGGCGTTCGCTCACCTCTCGATCCTGTAACAGCTCTCTGCCGTGACAGGGGAGGGACTGGATTCAACCCTCCGATCCGCCAGCACTGACTGGCGGAACGGACGGGGGAGGGTACAGCTGGCTCTGCCTCTAGATAGGCAGAGCCAGCTGTCGCTCACGCAGCTGGGCGGATCTCGACATCGATGTCAGGATGCGCTCCGGCTGCGGCGTCTCAGTATAATTCGCGCTGTAGCTCGCGATATACTGAGTTTAGGGTAACGGGAGGACGCTAGTTTGTGTCCTCCCGTTACCCTAAGGCCCCGTTCCCACTACGCGATATGCAAATCGCGCGTTTGTCGTGCGATTTGCATATTGCACGATGTCGCGTTCAAGCTTGCATTGAGCAAGCTTGAATCGCGGTTAAATACGCTCAAAAAATGGTCCTGCTGTAGCGACACACGACCTGCGACAGCAGGACCCTTTGCCCCATTGGATTGCATTGGAGCGCGATATCGCGGGAATTACCGCACGATAAATCGCTCAATGTGAACGGGGTCTTAGGAGAACTATGTGGAAAAGCCCTAACCCCATAGTTCTCCTGTAAAGTGGACCTTTACCCATATCTTTAAAATAACAACAAACACACCTTTAGAAATGTTTAGTAATGACAATCTAAACACACATACTTCTAGATAAATAAAGAGAGAGGTGGTTTGCCGTGCTGTGCCTGAGTGTTTGTGGAGACACACAAGAGTGGCTTCATAGGACCCTGCAAGCAAATGTACCACCCTAACACAGCATACCAGGACCAGTGCTCAGGGGAAACAGCCTTTTAAACATCAAGGAGCAGCACCCATTGTAGTGATTTAATCAGTATTTGAAATAGCTTAAAAACATTTTGACTTTAATATTACTTTAAGTGACACTGACTTTGTGGCCAACCCCATGTACTTGCTGGGTAGTATGTTTTTGCATTGTTCCTCTCAAACCCTTTAAGCTGCCCCTCCTAATTTGGACATTTTGGCAACTGTATGTGACTTCCACCCATGATGCAATGCTTGGGTCTAGCACTTAAATGTTAGCCCTGAGAAATGTCACATTATCACTGCTCTCTGGAACAGATTTACTTAAAGGGTATATTAAACCTCATCAATACCTTTTATTATTTGTTCCATTTCTGGTTTGTCAAATGAAAAAAAAAAAGTTTAATTGAAAGTGTTTTTGTTATATCTGTTCAATAAGAAAAGAAAAAGAAACTGTGGTCATCCTGCTAGAAATCCAGTGAACTTGTAACCTTCTTTGCAACTCTCACGCAGTGTTTTCAGTACTCTGAAGTACAAAACACCTTCCCCCTATACCAGGAATAGACAAACTCCAGACCTTCAGGTGTAGTGATGCTACAAATCCCATCATGCATCTACCTCTGGGAGTCATGCCTGTAGCTGTCAGAGTCTTGCAATGCCTCCTAGGACCTGGAGTTGCACAACTGAAGGGCCAGAGTTTGCCCACCTCTCAGAAATGAGGACTGGGAAGGTATTCCATAGTCCTAACACACTGCTTGCCCTAGGCTGACAATGCGGCTCCTCCATGGATACAGCACAATGAGTAAGGCCTTGTTCACACCAAGCGAGTTCCAGGTGCAGAGCAGTTACAGACCAGAGCAAAACTGCGTCCAATGTATTCCAATGGTATTTTTAGCTCCAGTTCACATTGCAGCGTTCCGTTCCAGAGCAGGTACAAAAAAAAAACCTGCAGCAGGCCCTATTTTACCTGCTCTGGAACACATGCAAACACATGCAAATGCCCTGGAACACACTGAACGCCCATTTTTTAAAAAAAGTTTTTTTTTTTAACCAAAAACAGGCCGGAATGCATCAAAAACACGGCAAAAAACGCACCACAACCCACTGCACTGCGTGTGCAGAAACTCATGCAGATCTGCTCTGCATTTGGTGTGAACAAGGCCTAAGTGTTGTGGACCTAAAGCTGCCCACACACCTTACAATGTATCTGCAGATTTTCTATGGTCAGATGGAAAAGGTGCCACAGATTCCTCCATCTACGCTAAACTGTGTGGATGGAGTAATCTCCACCTGGGCCAATCTGTTGCACTTTTTCCATCTGACCACAGAAAGTCTGCAGATAAATTGTAAGGTGTGTGGGCACCTTAAGACAGGAAATGCGTTAAATGGCAGGATCACCAAGTAAAAAATAAAAGAAACACATAAATGCAGCCACCCCAACTATTCCATTTTTGTTCTTGGGATCAAATAAAAACTTTAATGATTACATATTCAGTTTCATTACAACTGCTGGATTTCCCTTTCTGATAACTTGTTTTATTTATTCAAGGACGGATCCATATTTGGCCTCAAGCAACATGAACAGCAGATGTATGAAACATTGAGTAGTTCTAAGCATTGAAAATTCAATGCCGATACTATACAGCTATTATAAAACATTAGAAAAGCCTGCCCCTGTGGGAAATAAGAAAACATTATACACTAATACAATCCTGTGTGCAGTCAGATTATAGCCAACAGTTTCCTGCAGTCCTTGGACAGTCAACGTTTAATTAAGGCCAAAGCTAGGTGTCAATCGTCACAGCGGTGTGGTCAGCAGCGGTAAGGTCCAACGGATCTTCACTCATTGTACTTGTTAAAATGTTCACGAGCGATGATGAGTCTTTGGATCTGTGCTGTGCCTTCATAGATCTGAAAGAAGAAGCATTCTTTACAACAATGCTGCGATTGTGTCTGCAGATACCAGATCTGGGACCAATGACACATACAAGATCGGCAGGGCTTGAAAAATTTGGCGGTGTCTCACCAGTCAGTC